ATTAAGCCATGATGCTCTATTTTCTAAGCATTTGACTTTATCTTCATCTATAATAAATTTTTCTTTACATATCCAACAACTATCTAATTCATTGAATTTTTTTTTGTCTTTGTCAATCTCAACTCAATCATGTTTTATAGCTAAGACTCTATTAATTTTGACCAACTCTTTATCAATTCTTTTAACAAACTCCTAAGTAGCATTTTCTCCTCTATATAGAAATGGGCCCCATATCTTTCCAGTATCGATCTAGTGAACTAGATAACAAAAGCTATTGGCCTTTTGCTCTGCAATTTTATTCATTTTCCCACCATATTTCTCATTGTATTTCTTATTATCAGCCTCAAAGTCAGCTATAATAACACATGGAGCATTGATTATTTGTCCATAGTTCTTAAACTTTTCAAAGTTATTATCACCCTTGATAGATAATTTAACTCTTTGGGTTGCTTCTCCTAAGCTGAAACAATGTTCTTGGTGATAAACTAGAGATTTTTCTAACTGGAAGCTATGAAAGCACCGGTTATATAGATGCTTTTTTAACTTTTTTGGCATTATCTTTATAAACCAATTCATCTGGGTTTTTAATCCAAAGGAAATGGTTCTTTTGCCTATACTTATCTTCAGATTTGGTAATATTTATAAGAGCTATAAAATATATAATATGTTGTCTATTATAGTTCTTGCTAGCTATTACCGGTTTGGGAGTAGCTGTTTCTTCTTTCTATTCCTAAACATTAATAGAAATATCTGGATTTATCTCTTCTATCTTATTGAATATATATGAGCAAATTGGTGTAGGCATTGTGATTCCATCTAAATTAACAATATCCAAGTATTGCTTATAATCTCTTTTAGTAAATATTCAATCAAGATGATATGTATGTCTATCTTTATTAGCAAAATAACAAGCTAATGCTTCTTGAAGACAATTATCAGATGGCATACCAGTAATTGGATCAATTATTTCTAAATTATCAGGATTAATAGTACATTTGGTATTAGCAAGCTTCTTTGGAGTCGAGATATATGATCCACCAGTTGTTTTTCATAAGTATAAGCTTCAATAGTTAACATTTCAATCCTTACCAAATTCATTCCTGATCCTTCTTGCATAAATAAGTCTATAGCATTATCTATTTCTGATATAGATAAATTTATATGTTCATTAATATCTTCTTTTGTAAGAATAACATGCATGAGGCTTTTGTGATAAGCAATTATAGTTAATGACTTTTAAGTTTGTCCTTCCCTTTACTAACATGCCCAGAATATATATATTGAGCAATTAATGCAGTTTTTATTCGATCTTTTTTACACAATTCGGCTTTAAAGATTTTTGTAATTTGTTTTCTTGCATTTGCTATAAGTTGAGGCATATAGGGTGCTTCTAAATATTTATTGGGGTTTTCAATATAATGATTGAATCTATATTTTATGTTTTTAGAAGATGGAATAACTGCTTGCCATAAACTCATCGTTGTTAAGTTCTGATGGGGCCTTAAAGGATCAAAATTAGATTCGCATTCTTCGAATATTAACTCTTTGTTCGTTAATTTATAATTTTTTCTTACTGGTTTACCACCAAAATTGCCTTCTACAGTTATGATATTTCTTTTTGGATAGTCATAGAGCAAGGATCCACCTAATTCAGGCCATTTTTTATCAGTGCTTGTATTATATCTATCTTCCATATTATCAAACCATTCTATATCATTTTGGGGTAGATTTGAAGAAACATTGTCTGAAGATATATTTTGAATAGGTGATAAAAGTGTATCGTCTAATTGGATTAAATCACCTACTGGAACATGGGTTTGTATCAAAATTTGATCTGTAGCTGAATTTTGTTGTAATAGTGTCTGCGAAGTAGGAGGTGTTTTGCATCCTAGAGCTACAATAAGATTTTGGTTATTACTAGGTTTGCATAGAAATTTATAATTTAAGTGTGCATTTTGATCTCGAGTCTTTTTGAAATCATTTTTTCCACACCTAGGACATGGAGGTATCATTTTGTATATGGGTGCTGGTATTCCGTTGTTTGTATTAATATACCAGATCTTTTGTTTAAATTGAAATTTTCATATTTATATACTATGATAGGTGAATATACTTGTAATTATTTACTCAGAATAGGTGTTATTTGTGGATGTACTTGTCATTGGCCTGAAGGATGCTATGAATATTGGAAGGCTAGAATTGCAAAGTTTGTAGTAAACCAACTAGCTCTAAACCTGGCCTTTGTAGAAAGCATGCTAATGGATATTATATAACCCAGTATATTAATAGACTTCAGGAAAAGGCTCAGGAGCTTCTACTTTATAAAAATTGATAGAATTACTATGCCAGAATGATGACACAAACATAAATTTATCGTCATTCGAGCGATGACACAAATACAAGTTTATACCTACTATGACAAAATGATATCTTTTTTGATATGAATTTGGGTAAATAAATGTGTTCTAGCTATATAAAAATTTACACCAAGATATAGTATATAAAAGTGCTATAAAATATAGCAGGAATGACTTAAAAATGCAATTTGGCATATAAGTCATATAGAGGTGTAGAAAAAGTGACCCAGAACTCCCATTTTCGCCCTACTACTCTTATCGTAGCTGGTTGCTTTGCTATCTCTTACTCTTACTCACAGAAATTCACAATAGTCATATAGCTTGATTATACTTCGAAACACACACACTGTTTCTGGTTCTGTACTAGTAAGTGCTGCAATTTCTCTATCTTTCTGCAACATGCTTGGTTTATAACCTTCTATTACCAACTCCTGTTTGTTTACTAATTTCTTAAACAAGTCTTGGTATTCTTCGAGCCTTCTGAAGTTAATCAATATTTCCAACGTACTCTGATCATTCTGTATTACCGACTCCTGCATGACGGTCTAGACTTCTATTATTAGTTTGTTTGTTTACGTGTCTGCTTCTTTGTTTATTTGTTTACGTCAGATATACTAATTCGTAGCTTAATGCGTTTTGTTTACATGTTACAAATAGTGATCTATGTTCGGGATCTAGCCAATTTTTCTGTTTTTTTAAAAATTTTTTTATCGAAAAAAAAAAAAACCTTTTATTGAAGCAACTACCCTATTCACCTTTTGTTGGAGTTTATTGTTCTAGGATAATATCTTCTTTCCACACTGACTAATACTCTCTTCTAATCTCTTACTGTAAGTTTATCTAATACTGTTTCGACTTTTTCTGTGTTTTGGTTCTGCTCTGGTTTTGGTCACAGTGATTGTTAGGGAGAGTTAAATCCTTTGCTATTTTTTTTTAATTTTGTATTGTTTTTTTTTTAAAGTCTAATTATTATTATATTCGTAGATTTACAATGGGGCCTACTAACTCAGTGTGTCATACTGGAGTTAGTAAATTCTACCTTGCATGTTCTCAATGTTGTGAATTAGAACGCGAATATAAAGAATCGAATTGTAAGAGGATGACCGATTTGACTGTCATGGCAAACTAATTATTGGTATAGATATAGTGTCAAAAAAAGCAAAGGTAAAGCTTAATTATGATATTCAGTATGAAAAGCCTGTAGATATTACAACACCAGAAGAAATAAAAAACGAAATTATGCATAATCTTCACATAGATCCAGTATAGCTAAGAATGCATATTCATCAAAAATTTGATGCTTCACAGGTCACTCCAAAACAAATAAATTACTGGTGGTCCATCTTTAATTAACGATTCTTCAAGCTAGACGAAGATCTGTTTATTTCTGCATGTTGATTTTTAAATGATTCTAACAATAATAGCGAGTTTTGCTATGAGTGGAATGATGAATTAGTTATAGCAATTGGATTTATAACTCCATTACTAACAGAACTATTATCTGTATCAAACATTCATTGTGATGCAACATATAAAATAGCCAGAGGATGGTTTGAACTATATAGAATAATTAGCAGCACCCATGGTGCCGAATTTCCAATTGTATATCTAATGTTAAACACTACTAATGCATCAGATAATGCTCAAATAGGGCTAAGAACAAAGGCACTTGTTGGTTTTCTTCGCTCTCTTTGCAATAAAGGATTGCAACCAAGGAACTTCTTTACCGACAAAGACTTCGCCCAGATCAACGCTACAAAAGAAGTATGGCCCAATATTAATATACAACTTTGTCTATGGCACATAAAGAAGGCAATAAAAGAAAAAATTAGAAGCTATAAAAAAATAAAACAGACCCAGTATCGTCCAAGTAAAGCAGAAGAAGAGTTTGGTTTTATTGACTCCACCTTTAAGCCTAATTTAAATCGAACCGATTTTAAATACTATATTGTATGTTCAGTAGAATTACAGGATGAAGTTGTCACTCTTATAAAAAAACATTTCAACATGCACCAAAAAATATCAGTCAATTTAGCCGGGATATTTATAACATCTAAAGAAATCCGAATTGCCGCAGTCCGTGAAATGTATGATTTTTGTTTCAAGAACCACCTTGTGCTTCTTTGGGCGTACCTATGGTCCGAGTGGTATAAGATAACAAGGTGGACACTGTGGGCTTGGTCAGCACAAACAACTATCCCAATTAACAAGACAAATATGTTAATAGAGTCCCACTAGAAGGTTGTAAAATGCTGCTATCTTTACCGCTTCAACAGGCCACGGCTTGATTATGTTGTATGGATTATTTGCACACGTCTCCTTCCTGACCAACTAATTTGTCTTCATCAAGTGTGCCATGAATAAATAACACCCTCTTGATTCGAAGATTTCAAGAAAAATTGGAATCAGCTTGCTACAACACCAATTTATGATGATAATCATACTCGTTATTTTATTGATTTGGCACGATAGATTTGCAGCTGCCTATTATTTCTTAATTTCTGCTTTCTTATTTATAAACATCTTGTCAATTGTGCAACAGTAATAGGGAAACTACAAAATTCACAAGGTATCTGGCTTTTGTATAAAAACTTCCAATGCAGAGAAGATTATCCTTTTCTAGTTTGGAACACCAATGAACATATGCTAACAGAGGTCAATACCCAGGAATCAATAACTTCAACAGCCCTCCATGAATCTGATAATAATCTGATCGAAATGGATAAAGAAGATGAAATACTTGGTTCAAGATTAGGAAATAACTTGGTCGAAATAGATGAAAATGAAGCATTTGATTTAGAAATGATCCAGGCCTGTAAGCAAAAGGTTGAAGCTATAAGGCGTATGGCAGATCATCTCGAGCAAAAACTTGCAGCAAATAATTTCAACCACGTTATTTGTGTAACAAATAATATGGATAGGTTGTTCACAATATTAAATGATATTAAGACTGTGCAAAATAGAAGAAGGCGTAATTAAACATGGCAAGGATCAACTCCGTAGACATTATATTTGCAATAAAAAAAATTCGAAATAAATAGTTTAGCCAAAGAATACAAATTATAAAAAAATACATGTAAATTTTAAAATTTTAATTACCTGTTTCAATATAATAAAATTGATTTATATAATTAGTCACAACCCAAAAAAAATTAAAAAAAATAAATTAAAGTGTAAAGTTTCAATCAAAATAAAATTAATTCATATAATTAGTCACAACCCAAAAAAAAAAATAAAAAAAATAAATTGAAGTATAAAGTTTCAATCAAAATAAAACAAAGAACACATATCTCGAAACATTTGTGACTATATTAAGTTTGTATCATAATCACTACTCAAAAAAAAAAAAATAAAGTAAAATAAAATAAATAAATAAAAAATATAAAGTTCTTAATTAAATTAACCAAATTAAAACTTATCTTGTTTGAAATATTTCTTACTATAAATATACTTCGTATAATAAAATTTTTATTTCGCAATCAACCAATTATAAAAAATTTCTTTGTTAAATCTCTAAAGAAATAACAATACAACATATGCCTCAACTTCCTTTCTAAAAATATCTTCAAATCTTAAACACTCATGTAATCAAATATTTGTTTCATATACAGAATTTGAGTAGTACTTTAATACTCTTCTCGCTATCAAGGCGACAAATTAACAGTTTTTTAAAGATCTGTCACAATGTGTAAATGTTCACATGTGGCTCTAGCGAAGTAACTTAAAAGTCAAAATTGTAATATTAAAATAGCAAAGGCAGTAAAATTGTAAACCTCATAGTAATAAAAGTTATACTTACAAATTTTCAAATCTTGAAAAGTAGCAACTAGAAAATAGTATCATATTGAAAAAAAAATTAAAGTTACCAATATGACAATCATCCTGTAACAGGTATCTGTTTTCAGAATCAGATCGAAGAGTCGGAGATCATGTGGCCTGGAAAATCTCTTCTATATTCTGGATTCGTCATTAAGCCAATATTGTACTATATTTTCTTAAAACATTTATCTATTAGCTTTTTTTATCTCTATTCTATCTGTTTATAGCTATCAGCCTATCATTTAGCTATCACCTAGCTATCACCTAGCTATTAACTAGGCTAATTATTTGAAGATATCAATATATCAGCCTTATATTATTTTACAGATTATTAAATATTTTTTTATCATTAAGCCAATATGCAATATATTTTCTAACAATCTTTAGCATATTGGCTTATTTTAATACTTTATCATATCGGTTTATAGCCATCAGCCTATCATTTAGCTATCACCTAGCTATCAACTAGGTTGATTATTTGAAGATATTAGGATAATATTTTTGATTTTGACCAGATATATAGCTTCATATCACAAGAGAGCAACTCATAACTCACAAGCGAAAAGACAGGCATTTTTCATAAACTAAATTTATTGAGAAGTATATAAGAATATATAGCAAAGATAATTGAGATTAGAATTAAGAAAATTAAGGACTATAATTATTACCATATCATTAAGAAAAACTAATAAGATAAAAAAAAAACTAAATGTAAAAGTTGTCTTGATTTTTATACTCTTGATACATAATAGTTTATATATGCTTATTTTTAGAAATTTACATTATCATGGTTAGTAAAACAATTAATAATCAAATGCTATTGTTAAATTACTTTTTTTTCAAATATATACAATATGCACTTTTATATGCAGTATATTGCTAATGCTCTACAAGCTAATTTTGCAAAGTATATATAAGCTTAATGTTTATTCAAAATAGCTTTTAATCATCAATACCAAAATATTAATATATAGTGAAATTAAATATACAATATAGCTTAAAAATAACATCCTAGAGCACTATTTTAGATAAAAACATTAATCTTAAATTCATATGTAAATGTTTCAATAAACTAATAAATAGAAATAATATAGGGTATATACATACATATATATGTTCATATATACGTATAAGACATCAATATTTCTTTTACTAAATAAAATATACTGTATATGTAGGTTTTAATATACTGTATGTATAGTGCAAAAATCTAAAAACTTCAATTACTTTATATAGAATAAAGGTCAACAAAAAAGCTAAATATATCTTAGTAAGATATAAGAATTCTATATTAGGATTTTTTGTATTGTATAGAAGTTATTTAATTATAGCTATTATATTTTTTAATATGAAATTTGTTTGAAATTTTATATAATATTTTTTTATATTTATACAAAAACAGCCAGGTTCCAGGTGCTGTTTAATCTTAATATATTATAAGAACTAATTAATTTTATTTGCATGGTCTTCATAGAAAGATATTCATTTAATTGATCAATTTTTGTAGATCTACCTGTGATTTTCCGTAATATTAACCAATCACAATGCATAATTTTTAAGAACTAAGAAAATATTAGAAAATGAATAAACTTACATAAAGAAGCAAAGAAACTTACAAAACTAATAAATATGCATAACAAAGAATTTGTCGCATATTTAGGAATAGATAGACACACGTAAAGTGTAATAAATTAATTGATGATTCTCCAGTCAACTGAAGAATTATTAATTAATATTTATTACTAATAAACCCAAACCCAAGCTCATATCGACCAAAAAAATTTAATATGCGAATAAATTATTTGCGAAATATATTTACTATTATTATATTTTAAAAAGTAGTTAATTTATTTTTAATAATTGTGACCTTTATTAGAGATGCAATATGACCTTTAGTCTATATAATTATTAAACAATACTACTCATATACCCATACACATTATTGACCTACTACTTAACGCAAAGTTATTACTAATATTTTTAACTCTATAATTGAATACATAAACTATGATATTAGTACAAGCTTATTGTTATTACAATAGTATGTTAAACAGTATACACAAAGTTCTTTAAGTTAAATCTTAGGCCATGCAAAATTAATTAATTGGTTTTCATAACCCGGCCGGGTCAAAATTTGAAAATTTCAAAAAAAAAATT